AAACTCTGGATGATCTCACTTGTACTGGTGATCCACAGGATTGAGTTCCTCTCAGCCAATCGCTGGTCCCTCCTCTTCTCCCCATACTCCTTTCCCTCGCAATGTCATTGGTATTCCCGCTTCGGCCCGTCGTCCCCGAGCCAATTCTACCACCTCCAACTTTTAGTGTGTTTATATCTGGGGATTTGTAGGGAGGTTTGAGACAGGGGGAGAGACATGGGGCGAGGGGGAGGGAGAAGGAGGGGGAGAGACTCCGATCCATCTTGATATCACCATTTACGCCTTACCCATGGACCCAATCTCGCCCGAGACGCTCAAGAGCACCATGGACGTCCTCGATTCCTCGCGATCTTTGAAACGGGTGTTGGATTTCGTCCGACTGTGTGGGTACTCGGAAGATGCTCGTGGTGGCGGTGGTGGTGGTGGTGGTGATGATGGGGTTACTTGGACGGCGAACATACTTGACATCCGCCCAGGACTACCAAGTGTGAGTTTTCCTCTCTCTCTCTCTCACACACACCCTCTCTCGCTTTCTCCGCTTCTCTCTCACACACCTACTCTCTCTCTCTTTTTCACACACACACACACACACACTGTCTCTCTCTCTCCGCACTCTTCTCCCCCTCCCACAAACCACCTCATCCGAGCTGACCAACAGACAAACACACCACCCCCTCCCCCTCCCCCGCCCGATCCGTCCGCCTCGGCAGCCAGAGCTCTCGCCGTGGTCGACACGCTCGCCTCGTATCCACACCTCGTCGGTGATCTCGCCATCGAACGTCGGTCGCACTGTGATTCCAGACAAGGTGAAAGTCCCGACATCAGTGCAGAACTCAAAGAAAGTCAGGTCTGTTCAGAACCCAAAGAAAGTCACGTCACCTGTCCAGAACCCAAACAAAGTCACGACGTCTGTTCAGAACCTAAAGAGTTACGAACGATGGATTGGGATTGGGAGGAAAAAAAGATGGAGGAGAGAAGGACCCAGTTGACGACTCTTTCGTTGGATTCTGCTTTTACGACTTGGACTTATTTGCGGAGTGGACGTGGGCGGCTAGGAGACGGAGGATGAGAAGAGCTGGAAGGACATGAGGGAGGATCGCATGGAAGAAAGGAAGGAAGAAGGTGGGTAGGTTTCAGAGATGATGTCTTGATGAACGTAAACGTAAACGTAAAAGTCAGTGTGTGGGTATGATATGCGTAAACGTCAATGTCAAAAGTCAATGTATGATAAACGTATTCGTAAACGTCAATGTATGATAAACGTATTCGTAAACGTCAATGTATGATTTGTGTAAGCGTAAAAGTCAATGTATCATATGTGTAAGCGTAAATGTCAAAAGTCAAAAGTCAATTTTGGATAAACGTAAACGTAAAATGTCAATGTAGGAGTATGAGCATGGATGATATGCAACCACCTGACAACGAACATGAACATGGACATGATTTCATTCAACTAACGGATCGAGGTTGACTAACTTGAGGTTGAGTATGATTATGAACATGATTATTTCGGTTCTTACTCTGTCCAAACCTGTTGCATTGCTTCCACCACTCCCCATTCCACCATTCCACATTCCAACGTCCCACCCATCGTTCCACCATTCCCCATTCCACCCAACATTCCAGCAGTCCCCATTCCAACATTCCAAACCTCCACCCATCATTCCACCATTCCACCAGTCCAACGTCGTCGTTCGGTCGTTGCGTACCCAGACCCTACCCTAAGACCTTTCCACGTTCCGTTCCAGAGCTTCCACACGACGCGTCAGGTCGGCCAACTTGCTTTCCAGCGCCGACTCGCCATACCCCTGCTCCAGCTTGTCATTGGCCGACTGGGCCAGGTGGCGCATCAGCGGCGAAGGGAGGAAGGATGATTTTTGGGTGAGAGTGAGCGTGTGATGAGGGTATGGTGTGGCCGGGCGATGAGATGGAGTGGAGGTACCCATGTAGTGAGGATATGGTGTGGCCGGTCGAGGATGATGAGTCGGAGTGAGATGAGTCGGAGTGGAGGTGTCCATGTGATAATGATCTGAATACGGAGTGAGCGTGTGATGATGAGATGGAGTGTAAGTACCCATGTGCCGCGATGGAGATGGAGATGGAACAAACTTTGTTTCCGACTTGTGTTTGGGGATCGTGACATTGGGTCGGGTGGAGGAGACAGGTCGGAAACGGACTTGGAACGGAGCACGACGGGGGATCGTCTTGGTCTTCATGTTGTTGAGGTTTTTGGTCATGTTCGTGTTCTCGTTGAGGTTCTTGGATATGTTGTTGGTGTGAGGACGAGGCCGGGGGATCTTGCTCGGTTTACTTGGTTTGCTTGGGTAAAGACGGGGGATCTGGCTTGGTTGATCTTTACTTGGTTGGAGATGAAGAGAAGAAGGGATCTCGCTCGGTTTATTCGGTTGGAAAGAAGAAGAAGGGCTGTTTGGTTTACCCGGCTGGAGGAGGAGATGACAAGGGATCTTGCTCGCTTGGAGATGAGAAGGGGTCAGAGTGACCGGACCAGGACCAGAACCGGGACGAGGAAGAGGAAGAGGACCAGGAAGAGTTTGAGCTTGAGGAAGAGGAAGAGACTGTCAAGTGAGCATCGGTCATACAAGATACAGAGAGAAAAATAAAGTGGGATACGAAAAAGAAAGGAGAAAAAGAGGAGAAGACAAAACTCGGATGGGGAAATTCGAAAATCCAAGGAGAAAAAAGTAGAAGAATAACGGTCGGACACGAAAAAGGAAAGGAGAAAAAGAACAAAGTAGGATAGAAAAAGAAAAGAAAAAAGAGTCGGATATGGAAAATCGAAAACCAAAGGAGAGAAAAGAAAAAGAACAAGGTCGGATATAGGAGGAGAAAGAAAAAACGAGAAAGAACAAAAGTTGGGAGACGGAACACCAAAGGAGAGAAAGAAAAAGGAAAAAGAGTCGGATGACGGGAGATGGAAAATGGAAGGAGAGAAAAAGAAAAACAGAACAAAGTCGGATACGAATCAAGAGAAAGAAAAACAAGGTGTGGAGAAGGATGGGAGGGAAGATACCTGAACCTGAAAAGTGGGCAACGTGGGGGGATACGAGAGGTGAATGACAAGTGGGGAATGTGGAGGATACGAGAGGTGAATGACAAGTGGGGAATGTGGAGGATACGAGAGGTGAATGACAAGTGGGGAATGTGGAGGATACGAGAGGTGAATGACAAGTGGGGAATGTGGAGGATATGATACGTCAACGACAAGTGAGTGTCAGTAGTTGGAAAGGAGGAGAACATGAAGAGGATACTTGAACGACAGGGTCGATCTCTTGAGCTGGCAAGGACGTGAAGAATAAAGATACATGAACGACAAGTGGATCTCGCAAGTTGCAAGTTGGAACAATATTCGAAAATCACTCACCATGGGCTTGATCCGTCTGCTTCGTGTCGCTCTCAAGCTGGGTGGGGATAACACAGACGAGTAAGAGAAGAGCGGGAAGATGAGACCGAGTACGAGACTGGGTGGGTGGTGGACTGAGGGATAAGGTATTTTATGGCGGTAGGGGGTGGTATACTTGGTGCATGGATGATACGTATCGTATGGGACGACATGTTGAAACCAACATGGGTTACTTTAGCCCTTTCTCCTTTCGTCCTTTAGCCCTTTAGCATAGGCCATCAACCACCCTCATCAACATCATTCCACCCAAGCCCAACGGGCAACGGGCAACGGGCAACAGCCAGCCCGAGCGAGCGAGATACGTATCTATCTCCCGACACCACGACCATGAACCCTCAACACACGAGACAGGAGACAGTATCATACATATTCTCAAGGTGGAAGAACGAGTCGGATCGTATAGCAACTGCAACATGAGCGCAAACTCAAAGCCAACGACGTCGTCCAACAAACTCAACGTCAAAGGAAACCGTCTGGGTCATGATATCACGGCACCTACTATTTCTTCTATCGCTCGTTCTCACCCCCATCCACCCCATCCAGGTGGACAAGGACAAGGTCATGGTCATGTCGGTCGTCTCCCTGTCGTTCGTTCTCGTCTCAACGACTCTCAATCCCTAACCGATAACACTCAAGTAGTCCAAACCCAAACCCGATCCCAGAGCCAGAGGTCGACCCAAACCCAGAGCCAGAGGCCGACCCAGAGCCAGACCCACCCACCCAAACACCTCACAACCCTCCCCACATCATCCCCGACCTTGTCCCGGGGGGACCACTACATGCGCGAGCTGACCAGGGCCCGGTCCAAGATCTTGGCGTTGGAAACGCGGCTTGCGATGGTGAGTCTGTCCATTCTTTCTCCCTTGTGTGGTTGGATACCCCCCTTGACCCCTTGACCGGTCTCTCTTTTTTCATCTCGTCGAATCTTCAGTCTTTGTCGCTCCACCACCTCGGATCCTCCTCGGTGCTATCGACTCCCGCTGACGCTCCAGACCTCCAACCTCCAACCGACCATCACCAAGCTCCAAGCGGAGAACAAGACCCTGAACACCCGGTTGATCGCGCTCAAGGCGGAGAATGAAGCGTTGGGTCTCGCTCTTCGTCAAGTCGACCACAGAGGAGGAGCCGCAGGCGACCACCGTGGAGCAGGAGGTGCAGGAGGTGCAGGCGACGACCATAGAGCACGAGTCCGAGCAGGAGGTGTAGGAGCAGGTGCAGGAGGTGTAGGAGGTACAGGAGCTGGAGCAGGAGGTGGTGTAGGAGTGGGTGGAGCAGGAACAGGAGCAGGAGGAAACACGAAAAACGTCCATCCGGCAGAGGGAGAATGGTCGAGGATGATACTTGAGCTCCGGAACCATCCCCGGTTCGTCGCCATGACCGTGTCCAAGTCCAAGGATGACGCTTGACGCTTGGTATGTCGGGTGTATCGGGTCAAGTCTCAGATGTCGAGGATGACGCTTGATGGTGGTGGGATAGGGTGTACTCAAATGTCGGAGGATGACACTTGATGGCTCGTACGTACTTCGTCACGGGTAGTAGTAATAGTACTGGGTGAGGAGCGGTGGACAGACATGCATACTGTACATACTTGACATCTTGATAACTTGATAACTTGACGATCAATCCACCTGTTCGATGTATCGTATCGTATCGTACTCTCACAGGTATCGTGTATCGTATCGTACTCTGGTCACAGTTAGTAACAGGGGGTGAGGTGAATGAGCGATGGACAGACATCCCATACTGTACTCTACTATATGCACATCACCTATTTGTCCCACCTGTCCACTCGTCCACCTATTTCACCCTTTGAGTTCACATCCGATTACCCTCCACATCCCCCAACAGGTCCTTCAACACCCTCCGGACCTCGTCGTCGGGTTTTTCGGAGAAGACGAGGTTGGTGACTACTTGTAAGAGCTGGTTGTTAGTTTGTACCGCGACGACGAGCACACCACGAGCAGGATCACACCAGGACCGAAACGATCTGTCAGTCGGAGCGGAGATCGAAACGACCGGCCATGTTCACTCCGAGCGGAGATCAAAACGACCAGCCATGTAGTCAGGTTCACTTCGAGCGGAGACCGAAACTCCCAGTCGTGTTCACTCCCACACTCAGTCACCGAAAAGACAACTCTAGAAAGCACTTGGAGGGGACCAGTCGTGTTCAATCACAGCGAGACAACTCCAAAAAGCACTCCGCGCGGAAACCACTCGTGTTCACTCAGTTCAATCAAAGCGAGACAACTCCAGAAAGCACTTGGAAGCGACCAGAACCAGAACCAGAACCAGAACCAGAATCAAAATCAGAATCAAGAATAAGAACTAGAATGCACTCACCCTGCTCTTCTCCCGTTCCCTATCTCTCCACCGTTTAGCAATCATCGCTTTCCTCGCTCTCGTAGCTTTGTCCACTGGTCTTTTGTCTTTCTCTCTGTCTCTGTCTCTATCTTTACCTCCATCTCTGTTTTGATCTCTATCTCCATCTCTATCTCTATCTCCATCTCTATCTCCATCTCCATCTCTATCTCTGTCTCGATCTCTATCTCCATCTCTATCTTGGTCGGTGTTATCTCTATCTCTGTCTCGGTCGGTGTTATCTCTGTCTTGATCTCGATCTCTATCTCGGTCGGTGTTATCACTGTCTCTATCGGTGGTGATGGTGGTTTCTCTCTCTAGATCTCCCGAGCCGACAGGCATACTCGTACTCAGCCTCGTACGGTTGTGGGTTTCTTGGTTGGGACCTTCATTTTCTCCGGCGTCGGTGTTGGCGTCGGTGTCGGTGTTGGAACCTTCATCATTCTCTCCTGCGTCGGTGTTGGACCCTTCATTCTCTCCTGTGTCGACATTGGAACCTTCATTCTCATTCTCATTCTCTCCGGCGCCATCCTCCAACCCCCCTCCCACCTCACCCATCCAACCGACACCTGCACCTACACCTTCCAATCCGACCCACCCCAGATCCAGATCCAGATCCTGATCCCACTGCCAATCCCCTGACGTTTCCCCCTCTCCCTGTCCCAGAGGGGCCGCGGCGTTGGACATGGACCTCTCCCGCTCCCCCCCTCCCTCTCCAAGAGCCGCGACATGACCCCGCGCATGTTCCGGAGTGAGCGACCATGGAGAGCCCAGCTGGACTTCGGAGGGTTCGTTATTGAGACCCAGTGTCGAGTGGAGAGGGGAAACCAGATGGTCATGTGCGTCGGAGCGTTCGTTCGAGTGGAGAGACTGCAGCTGGTCCATGTTGCTTCCTGGTCCTGAAGTTGAGAGAACGGGCGTGGCCGACTTGCATCCTGATCCTGAGAGAACGGTCGTGGGCGTGGGCGTGGACAAGTGAGGAGAGGGGGAGGGGGCGAAAGCCAGAGCGGCTTGGACGAAAGGTATGATGTTGCTTGGTGTCCATGGCTCCTGGCTCGGCTGGCTCGGCTCCAAAATAGAATAAGGATGGGGAACGGAATGGAGATGAGGATGGGGCTCGGGCTCGGGATGGGATTGAGGATAAGGAGAGGGATGGGATTGAGGATAAGGAGAGGGATGGGATTGAGGATAGGGACAGGGATGCGGATAAGGCTCGGAATGGGGATAAGGATTGGGATGGGAATGGGAATGGAGCTGGGAATGAGGTTGAGGATAAGGATGATACCGAGGGATCAAGTTGCGGAGAACCGGGGTGGAAATGGATCGGACTATGGATTTGGACCGTGGGGAGGAGTTGGATATCTACGAGTGAGCTGTCTACTTGGCTTGATTACTGCCCTGGGTAGCCTACTACTCGCTGACTTGCACTCGACTACTCGCCTACTCGCCTACTACGACTGTACCTACTTGACTCTTCCCTTCAACTGTAGCTACTTGGCTACTAGCTACTCGGGGTAGAGAAAGACGACTCACCACCTGCCCTCTGACCCGTCGGAGCTCACTCGCCAACCCCACTTCGAGCCGGTCGCGGGCTTCGGTCCCTCCTCTTATCAACGCCGCGAGGGGCCCGCAGAGTCGGGCGACGTGGGATGAGATTAGTTGTGGCGTGGAGGGTTGGTCCATGTTGGATTGTGCCGTGGCCGTGAGAATTGAGGTCTGTCCCCCGTGTGTGGGTAGGAGGGTGGGCGATACGTATCGAGGGTGTACCGCTACTACGTGAGTATAGTGCAAGGCGGTACGTACGCCGTGGGTATGTCTCGAGATGTCTGTGTCTGTGTGGGTGGGTGGTACGTATCGAACGGTACGTACGCCGTAGAGGAACGCTTGGGTTGCAGGGTACTCAAAGACGACTTCGACTAAAAAAGGCTCATTGACGAAATGGCTAAAAGACTAAAAAGAGACTAAAGGTGGTCAGAGCGTAAGCATGTCAATCGTATCGCACTAGTCCCAAACAACTCTGGTCTTTCTCTCTCTCTCTCTCATCGGTCGACCCCCTGTCCTGCTTGGCCCCTGCATCCTACTTGGGGCTGCCCATTGATACCATCGCAAGTCATTGATACACCATCGCGGATCGTGTCATCTCTACCTCCACTTGAAGTACTTACTCTCCACCTTCCACTCCCACTTCCAGTACCTACTACGTTACTACTAGTGGA